TTTAAATGGCTTTTTCCCCATTTCCATGCTCCTTATCTGAAACCACAGCATCAGTTCTGAGGCAGCACCAGAAAGAGAAAGACTGATATAGAAATGATTGAATAATAACTGGATAATGGCCTAAGGAGCAATAAATAGAGTCAATCAGAGTTGAATATTCTATGACTCTATGCAAGGATTTCCCTAAATCCCTAAATACTAAAAATAATGTGAATGATAAATAGGAGCTCATTTGTATTGTTTCTTACACGGGCAATTAAAACGCAGCATCTGTTTCTATACTGGCCAAGCAATATAAAGATATGTCAAATCATAATGCCATATACTGAAAACAGGTAAAAGTGAAATAAAAAGTAAAATTTAAATATTATACAGAAACATACTGGTATGTTACAAATAAACATACAAAACACCTGGTTGTGTAACGAGATCATTGAAAAATAAAAGGAAATTTGAACTAATTCTACAATAAATGTAGTAATCATTATATAGTTCAGTTAAAATATTAGGTGATTTGTGTTATGCTTACCCTGAAATGCAGGAAAACATTCAGAGAAAACTTTGGCTTTGATATTTTCCATACAAAATGTTACAAAGCAGACAAACATGGCAAAATTGCTCAAATATCATGAGCTCTAAATGGAATTTTTACTACCAAATACATATGTATTTGTATTAATCAATATACATTCTTCTGGAAATAAAAAAGGCCCAAGGCCTATTTTAGAAATTGATCTATTTTTCTTCAGGGGCTCCTTCTATTTCTGTATGTGGATGTCAGTAATCCTACACATAAATTATTACTTTGCTTGCATTTGAACCATAAACAGAGTTGATTATCAGTTAGGTAACTTTTCTGTTTAAGAATTAGATAACCTTTCCAAAGTTTATTATCTCTTATGTAACTGAGAAATTTTCCTGCTCATCAACTGTATTGTTATCCATTTCATCTCAGGGATTACTTCTCAATTCCCAGGTACTGCTTATCTCATTTTAACTAAATCCATATTCCCAAATCATTTATCTTTACAATAACTCTTCTGTTACCTTTTTTCTCACAGGAAGCAGACAAGGTAGCAATTTTGATCTTACCTACTATATACTTTAGAATATCAATACATTGAAAAATCGCAGAAGTCCAGCTGTGCTCAGGATTGTATTCTTCTAGCTAGTGAGCCACTCTTTTACAATTCTATTCACAAGTGCTCCCAAGATTTAGTTTTATTGTTGGGGCACTGACAGTGGCTGCAAAAAGAAAAAAAAAATATGGGAGTACATGGAATTTGCAACCCAAATGCTCCGAATTTAAGACATAGGGATTTATACCCAATAAGTGCTGGGCGCGGTGGCTCAAGCCTGTAATCCCAGCACTTTGGGAGGCCGAGGCGGGTGGATCACGAGGTCAAGAGATCGAGACTATCCTGGTCAACATGGTGAAACCCCGTCTCTACTAAAAATACAAAAAACATTAGCTGGGCATGGTGGCGCGTGCCTGTAATCCCAGCTACGCAGGAGGCTGAGGCAGGAGAATTGCCTGAACCCAGGAGGCGGAGGTTGCGGTCAGCCGAGATCCCGCCATTGCACTCCAGCCTGGGTAACAAGAGTGAAACTCTGTCTCAAAAAAAAAAAAAAAAAAAAAAAAAAAATATATATATATATATATATATATATATAGAGAGAGAGAGAGAGAGAGAGAGAGAGAGCGAGCTAATAAGTGCTTCTGATTTTCACCATTTCTCCTATATAAGTAATCCAGTCCTATTACTTCTGAAGCAGAAGAAATGGAGCAGCCAGATTTAAAAAAAAAAAAAAAAAAAGACATTCCTTCTCTCAGACTGTTTCACAGATTGGTCTTCGTCTTTGTCAGGACAAGATAGTTATCAAGCAATCAGTGATGGCTATTTGAGGTGCATAAAAACATTTTAACTGTTTGTACTTGTTCTTTTCTTGTATATTTTCAACTTGTACCCAACAGGTTATCTTTAAGCACAGCTGGAATTCAGGGTGCTTTCAGCCCTTCAGTTCAATCCCTCCAAGCTGAGGTATTGAAGCCTCCTCAAACTACATGCTCAGGGCCCCACTCTCCTTTTCTTGAGATTATGGGTATTTTGAGGACATTGGGTAAATACAGAAGAGTGGATGTGCATGCACAAGTATTTGGTAACAAAGCAAAGACATCTGGCACAGACAGGAATCATTCCTAAGTAATGATGAGATGCTAAATGTTAACAAGTTGGAGATAAGATGGTTACATCCAGCTTGGAGGTGGCCATTGAGTCTTCCAATAGTGCCTCTTGCAGTTAGGATGATCAAACCTCCTAATTGTCGAGGACATTCCAGTTTATGCCTATTGTCCCTAGTATGGTTTTGAAATTGGTGTCCCTTTTCAAGTGTCTTCGTTTGGGCAAAAAATTATATAGCCACCCTATTTATTGATGGTGGAATTTTCTCAGAGGCACCCACTTTTCTGCAGAAGGTTCTCCCTTCTTGGGAGCTTTTCCTCTATCAGCTCCCTGGATCCTGGGTCTCCTGCCCAGCCTATTAACCTCCTTCCTGCCTCTCGACCTTATCCCCAAATCTTTGAATCTCCTGAAATTATTTCCTTCTCCCTTCCATCACCTGAAAAGCTTCCTTTCTTCAAACTCCTTCAAGATCACTCTTTTGTCTATTCCCTGATCCTTACCTTCTTTCACAAACTTTAGACCAGAGAATGCTATTTCACCTGCACAGGTGATCAACAATTTGGACCATAACGGTGGCACTGGTCTTAAATATTTTTACAACACCCTGATCCAGAATCCATCAAACCAGGAGTCTCCCAGACTTACTACACCAGCCTGTCATAGCAGACATCTGTATTTTTCCCAGAACTCTACAGGTGATTCTCACATACAGTGAACATTGAGTGGTCCTGGCCTCATATGTCCCAGGCACTTTGCATGACATCTCATTAATTCTCATAATCTTACAAAGGCAACATAGTGTTAGCAGTTAGGAGCAAAAGATTCTGAAAATAACCTTACAGGACTAAATCCAAGCTTCTACACTTACTAAGTAACCTTTGAAGTTACTAAAGCTCTCTGTGCTTCTAAAATATATCTAATTACTTATCCTTGTACCTGTGATAAGTATTAAGCAAGTTAATACATGTAAAGCACCTCATCAGTCCCTTCTACAGTAATTACTTTTAAAATGTAATTATGACCTGTTTTACAGTTGAGGACAATTCCAAGATGGCAGGGCTAGTGGTGATCCTGAGCTCTAAACCAATGTTTTCTGAATCTAAATTTTCTGACATCACTGCTACCAAGTGCTCTCCTATACATAATAAAAGGCAGTATAGTAGGCCTGATGAATGGTATGGGAAGAAGTCTTTTATCATGTGACACCACATAACAGCTGCCTTACCACACACTATAGATATGAATAGAGAAGATGGCTCAGAAATAGAGTGTACTAGTATTAGTGACTCAATCTGTGACTATTATAAAAGGAATGAAGTTTTGAGTGATTTACAGTAGTTTTAAAATGTGTTTTATATTGAGTCATTATTTCATGTCTTTATTATTGTATCGAACTAAAAATAAACTAGGTAGTTTGTCCCCGTAACAAATCTACAAAGACATGCTTACAAATTTTTCACTTAGTCCATTTTTCTGTTTTCAGCATTACTACAAACGCCTCATTCCATCATCATGTTGAATTCTTCAGCATATTCTGTATCATTTCCAGGGCATCTCTGGGAATAGATGCCTTTCTTCCCTCAGAAGCACACTGATAACCCCAGTATACCCACAATTCACACCTTTTCTCTTCTGAAGTGTGCTGCTTTTTGGCTCAACAGAAAAAACACACTACTAGAATCCGAAAAACTAAATTCCGGGGCTGGTCAGGTCATAAACTATGGAAACCTTAGGTCATATATTCTCCCCAGGTGCTTGTTTCTCCACGGCAAGAGAATTCTTATTTGTTTGGTCCTTAGTAGTCCTTTACTATTTCATTTATCTTCAGATAACCCTTAAATTTAAGTAAGACAGCATTAGGCTAATTTTATAGAAGAAATTCAATCTGAAAGATGATATAATCTCCCAAAGATCCCACAAGTAGTAATATATTAGGTAGAGCTAAACTCATACACACTCAAGATCCTACGTGCTGTGCTAACAAGTTTGCTAAAATGGATGAAGCAACAATTTCTCAGGTCCCTTCCAATGATCCTGTTCTCTGCTTCTACTTGCTATTTTTTTCTCTCTTCTCTCAGCTAGGGTTGAAACCATACATAATCACCAAGTTTCATTTTCATGGTTTTTAAGTTATTCTTTAAATTTTTCTATTTCCTTGTTAAATCCAGAGAAATTTAAGTTTTTCGAAAGTTTCTACTGCTGTCTGCCTCTCTGAAGGCCATGGGACTTACCTATTTGTCAAAGCAGAAATTCTCAACATTTTGTAAACACCACAAATTACTTTTTATAACTCTAAAGACAATTATTCCATACTTAAAACCAAATCAAAATAAAATAAATCCTCAATACTTCTTACTCCCTGGAGTAGCAATTTTAATTAGATTCTATTGATTTGTTACTTTCTCCTGTGTGCCTTTATTTGGGAAATACTGTTAGTGTAGCTTGCTATCGAGTCTTTCCCTGACAAAAAAAAACTGACAGTTTTAAGAGTCAGGAAAGCTTTTATTTTCACTATCAGATACGAAGAATGAACTAAACACTTAACATGGAAAGTAAAACTTAAATGAGGGATTCAGGACATTTCCCAAGGGATCGTATGACCAATTTAAAAGTTGGCATGATGTGCCTAAAATAACAAATTAATTCTTTTACTTATAATAAAGGTACAGATGTGCTGATAGTCATGCTGACATGTACATATGAAATATGCCTAAACAAAATTAAAAGAAAACAAAATACATGCTATGGGCAATCTTGAAAAGTCAAGGAGCTCAATAAAAATTAAGAGTATGTTCTCACAATAAGAACATTAAACACTTGGTAATTAACATAAGTTAATATACAAAAAATGAGAAAGTATACAGGATGAAAGATGAGGAGTACACATAGGAAATTTTTGTGATTTTCTTCATTTTGGTTCTATCGCTTTCTTGTCTTCAACAGAGAAGTCTTTGACTTCAAAAGTAACAAAATATTTAAGAAGGGAATTAACATCTTTCTGTTCTAAAAGGTACTCTTGTGCTATTTTCTCAGCAGTCCATGTTTCTGGATAAAGTTTATGATTATTGAGAAGTGTCAATGCTTCCACAACAGAAATTTTGCCTTTGGGAACGCGCTTAATATTTATCATATCAAAGTGTTGGCCTTTTGGCAATCTGAATTCCTCTGGCTCCTGATGTGTTTCAGCAGCTTTTACCTAGTATCAAAAAAAAAAAAAAAAAAAAGCATGAGAGAAAAGATTTGACATCTACTTTCACACTTCTCAAATCTACACTACTCCTCTTCAAATAACAGCTGATATGATCTGGATCTGTGTCCTCTCCCAAATTTTATGTCACAGAATTGTAATCCCCAATGTTGATGCAGGGAATGGTGGGAAGTGACTAGATCATGGGAGTGGATTTCCCCATTTGGTGCTGTTCTCATAATAGAGTTCTCACCAGATCTGGTTGTTTAAATATATGTAGCACCTCTCCCACATCCCGTTTTCTTCTTGCTCTGGCCGTATAAGCTGTGCCTGCTTCCCCCTCTGCCATGATTATAAATTACCTGAGGCCTCCCCGGCAGTAGAAGCCATTATCCTTCCTGTATAGCTGGCAGAATTGTGAGCCAATTAAACCTCTTTTCTTTATAAACTGCCCAGTGTCAGGTGTTTCTTTATAGCAGTGCAAGAATGAACTAACAGAAAAATTATACGTGATTTCCCAAACTTCATTTTCTTAAAATGAGCCACAGTTTAATGGTACTTTTGCCACAGTGCCTTCTCATAACTACAGCTCTATCATTACTAAGAAATGTAGGTAGCTCTAGAAAATAATAATCAAATTTATACTATCCACTCACATTATTTCATGTGTTTAAAAGCACAATGAAAATGATTAAAAACTGCACCTGTTTTAAAAGGGCAGGATTCTGATGCCACCCTAACAGCTGGCTTGATAACATCTATTCATTTCCCAGCTTTGTATTTCATACTCAGTGCTCCCAAACACCTTTAGTGATCTTGTCTCCTCTAAGAAAATAAACTAAGGCCTCCAATACACTCCAGTATAAATAAAACAACCTATGCACACCCATCCTTCCATCTATCTGTCCCATCCCAGCTTAACCACCACACATGTGCTCTGCATTCCAATCCTATTTCCTGGCCATACCTATCATTATTTTTTTTTTCCGCCTTTCTTTTGTTTTACTGCACTGTGCCTACTGCTGCTTTTTGGTCAAACAAATGCTATAGCCAGTACCATTTTTAACATACCGACCAAACCCAAAACCAACACCTCTTTTATTACCAGTTTATTTCTCTTTGGTTAATGTTTAAAAGAAATAATGCTTGTGATCTCTAATAACTGCCTAGTTGCTTAATTCAGAGAACATTTTTTGGATCTTATTTGAACTCACTACAGCATCTCACTACATCTAACACTGCTGACCACACCAATGTACCTATAACTATCATCTCCCTTGGTTTCCATGCCACCCCTCTCAGAGTTTTCCATCTGTTCTTTCAGTGGGTCCGTTGGGGGTTATTTCATGGACACTTTTGCTTACCCTTAAATGTCAGTGTGTGACATTTAAGAGTGCCCAGGCCTTCCTCTCACTGTTCACATTTTTCCAAAGTAATCCCACACACTCCCCTAACTTCCATTACTGCCTACATGTTAATTACTTCCAAAGCTGTGATCATAAACCTAGACCTTTTCTTGATTTCCTAACCCAAATGCTAAACAGGTATCTCCACTCAAATGACCTACATGCTCCTCAAATATCTGAAACTGAACCTATTACCAGTTTTACTTCCACATCCTCAATCTCAATGACCAATACCACCCACCTCCCATGCCAAAAATGAGATCATACCTGCACCTCCCTCTCCCTCACTCATTACATCCAATCAGTGACCAAATCCTGCTGATACTGCATCATGTCTCTCTCAAACGCATTCACTTCTGCCTGTATTGGTAAATCACCCTAGTCCAAGCCAATGTCTCTTAGAGAAATGACTGCAAATACCTCCTATCTGATCTGATCTGTTTCTCCATCCCAACTCACTTCTCCCAAATTCACGCCTCATATTTTCCTACAACTGCACTGAACTCTAACCATTCTTCAAAGGCATCACACACTCTTATATCTTTACATTGCAAACTAGGCCTGAAACACTCTTCTCAATTTCTTCACTTTTCAAATCTCAAAGCTTCTCTCATTTTCCTATTCCCAGGTAAGGTAGATCTTCCATCCACTCCAAACACATCTGTATTCAGATTTCCTTTCTAATTAATAGTAAATATTAAAATTAATAATAATAATTTGGCCAGGCGCGGTGGCTCAAGCCTGTAATCCCAGCACTTTGGGAGGCCGAGGCGGATGGATCACAAGGTCAAGAGATCGAGACCATCCTGGTCAACATGGTGAAACTCTGTCTCTACTAAAAATACAAAAAATTAGCTGGGCATGGTGGTGCATGCCTGCAATCCCAGCTACTCAGGAGGCTGAGGCAGGAGAATTGCCTGAACCCAGGAGGCGGAGGTTGCGGTGAGCCGAGATCGCGCCATTGCACTCCAGCCTCGGCAACAAGAGTGAAACTCCGTCTCAAAAAAAAAAAAAATAATAATAATAATAATAATAATAATAATAATAATTTGACACAAAAAATATCTAAGAATATTCAAATCCTCTCTTTACCGGAAAAAAAAAACCCTTAGGAAATTAAAAATGGAAGAAAATATCCCAAGTGTGATATAATTTTTTTTAACTGAAAACAAGTATCATTTTATTATATCATGCTGAAACATTTGAGACATCCTATGGAAGGAACAGGTGAAAATGCCTACTCTCACTGGCATGTTAATGTTATATACAACACAACAAAAGAATTAAGTATATTAAGCCGGGCACGGTGGCTCAAGCCTGTAATCCCAGCACTTTGGGAGGCCGAGGCGGGTGGATCACGAGGTCGAGAGATCGAGACCATCCTGGTCAACATGGTGAAACCCCATCTCTACTAACAATACAAAAAATTAGCTGGGCATGGTGGCGCGTGCCTGTAATCCCAGCTACTCAGGAGGCTGAGGCAGGAGAATTGCCTGAACCCAGGAGGCGGAGGTTGCGGTGAGCCGAGATCGCACCATTGCACTCCAGCCTGGGTAACAAGAGCGAAACTCCATCTCAAAAAAAAAAAATGAATTAAGTATATTAGAAAGAGAAATTTATAATTCTATATAGATATAAGAATATCTTTAGAAAACAGAATTAACTGAAAACCTAACAGAATAACCTAGCAATGTGGGTAGCTACACTATAAAAAACACTCACTTTCTGATATACAGTAGTCTCTGGCTTTATCTACAGTTACAGTTACCTGAAGTTAACCACAGACCAAAAATATTAAATGAAAAACTCCAGTAGTAAACGATGCAAACCATTCAGAGCAGCATAATGAATTCTTATGCTATCCATTCCATCTTGTCTAGGATGAGAATCCTCCCTCTGTCCAGTGTATCCTCGGTATACAGGCTACCTGCCTGTTAGTCACTTAGTAGCCATTCTGGTTATCAGACTATGTGACATGACTGTGCTTGTGTTCAAGTAACCTTTATTTTACCAAGAATGGCCCCACAAGAGCAGTGATACTGGCAACTCAGTTATGCCAAAGAGAAGCCATAAAGTGCTTCCTTTAAGTGAAAAGGTGAAAGTTATTACATGAAAAGGGAAAAAAAATTATATGCTGAAAGTGCTAACGTGGATAATAAGAATGAATCCTCTAACCCTGAAATTGTTATAACTGCTCGATTTTATTATTAGCTGTTAATATCTTACTGTGCCTAATTTATAAATTAAACTTTATCATAGTATATATTTATAGGAAAAAGCAATGTATATTGGGTTCAGTGCTACCCTCGGTTTCAGGCATCTACTGGGGTCCTTGGAACCTATCCCTGATAAGACTACTGTATTAGCAATAAACAGTTTAAAAAACTGAAAGTGGAAAAACATCCCATCACAGGGCCAGGCGCGGTGGCTCAAGCCTGTAATCCCAGCACTTTGGGAGGCCGAGGCGGGTGGATCACGACGTCAAGAGATCGAGACCATCCTGGTCAACATGGTGAAACCCCGTCTCTACTAAAAATACTAAAAATTAGCTGGGCGTGGTGGCGCGTGCCTGTAATCCCAGCTACTCAGGAGGCTGAGGCAGGAGAATTGCCTGAACCCAGGAGGCGGAGGTTGCGGTGAGCCGAGATCGCGCCATTGCACTCCAGCCTGGGTAACAAGAGCGAAACTCCGTCTCAAAAAAATAAATAAATAAATAAAAAGATCCCATCACAGTAGCAACATTCACTTTTACCCTTCAAGGACTTAATAATTAAAATGTTAATTCTCCTCAAATTAATCCATAAATTCTCATTCAATTATTCTAAAAATCCAAACAGGACTTACTAAATAACCTGACAATTTCTTTCTCAAATTCATCTGGAAAAATATCAATGTGTGAACAGAGATAAGAAACTTTTTAAAAGAATGAGAGAAGGCTATAAGAGATACCAACACACATTATAAAACTTTTTAATTAAAACTATGGTTCTAGTGCAAAAATAGAAAAATAAGTAAAACTGATGAGTCCATAAATAGTAGACACATGTATCTGGAGATGCATTTTAAGTAAGTGGAGAAAGGTCTGGACTATTCAACAAATTATATTTAGATAACTAGCCATCTATTTGAAAAGAGATTCAACTGATCTCTTCCACACATCAAAAACCACATTTAATGCCAGATAAAGATTTTAATATAAAATGTAGTTATAAAACTACTAGAAGAAAACACAGAAGAGTTTATATGATGGTAGAGTGAGCCCAGTATTCCTTTACCATGAAAAACAAAAAGACTGAAATATTTGACAGAATTTTGAATATGCTAAAAAGTCAGACAACAAATCAATTATTGCCATATGAAAGGCAAGTATAACTGATGTCCTGAGGTATCACAAATCATTAAGAACACTATGAAATGCCTGAAGGAAAGAAAGGGACAAAGAACATAAATATCAGGCAATTCCAGTTTTCATTATCACTTTCCCTAAGGAATCTCTTCAGACTTTTCCTAATGCCCCCATGAAATTTTAGTATCACCATATACATACCTCTTTATGTATTATAGGTATAACTGAATCTTATAAATAAAAAGTATTAATTTTTTTTTTTTTGCTTCCAAGAGTGAATTTTCAGATGCATAATTAAGTAACATAAGAGAAAGAATACTTGGGAAGTATTACTTAACACCTACTTAAAATAACATAAAGAACACAGACATTAACTCTATGCCTTTTTAATGTGAGCATTTAGTGATAACTGAACCCTACAATTACTACTATGTCTAACAATTTACAAATCTTGTTTTATTTTTTCTGTGTAGAGAAAATTATTTTAATAATTCTATCTGTGCAAATATCCGGAGACAGAAAGACAGTACCAAAATATTTATAATGAAAAAAAAAATCTGGAAGTAGTTGGCATTTCCTTGTCCGTTAATCAAACTTTTACCCCTAACTAGAATCTTCCTGCCCCCACAAACTCATCTGGTTAACTCCAACTGATCCCTCAGGCCTGAACGTTAACTATTACTCAGAAACCATCCCTGATCTTTAATTTCAAAGGGGTCCCTCCAATATACTCTAACAGTGCCCATATTTTTCCCATAATTATGTATTTATGGTCACATCGTAGCTCATGTGCTTAATGTCTGTGTCCTTCACAACATCATAAGCCCTGTGAGAGCAAAGACTAGTTTTGTTCATCACTATACACAAAGCGCTTGTGCCCAGGACTTAATAATACAGTATATAGATTTACACATAGGTTCCCATTCTCAATGTATTCTTTGATCCTTCTCCTAATTTTAAATATCCTATCTGAATACATCCTTTAAAAAAAAAACAAAAACAAAACAGAACCCTACAAAACCCAGCAACACTACTAAAGGAGTATCTGAGATTAGAACATACCTCAATCCAGAGAAGAACAAGGAAAGATTAAAGCTCTGCTTTTGTCACTCAAAAAACAACCACTGGAAGTTAACAACTTACCAAATCCTACAAATTCTGAACTACTATAAAATAATTCACACAGTTGCTCTGCATCAATACTTCCACAAGTTATCTTAGAATTCTCGTAAACATCCAATGAAGCAAGGCCTAAGTGTCTTGCTGTCTTAGACCACTGTGCTTAAACTTTGCCAAGGCACGATAGACTGGTCACAACCCTAACACTTGCAGAGTACTGTTTTTACAACTTGCCACACTTAATCATTTTCCTGGAGCCCCAAAATAAGTAAATTGTATATTTTGTGTATTCACTTAATTAAACACACATTTACCTGCATGGAAGACACAGGATCTTTGGAATCAACATACACATCTTTTAGAAACGACAGTAGTTTGTCATCTTTACGAGCAATCGCTCCCTTAATTTCTGGATTGACTAAGAAAAGGAAAAAAGTCACAATATTAAAATCAAGGAAAATTTCCTGTAACATCCTAAATGCACAGACACGCACCTTCTTTTCTTTTCTTTCTTTGAGACGGATTCTTGCTCTGTCTATCAGGCTGTAGCGCAGAGGCGCGACCTCGACTGCCTACAACCTCCGCTTCCTGAGTTCAAGAGACTCTTCCACCTTCTCGGTCTCCTGACTAGCTGGGATTACAGGCGCACGCCACCACGCCCGACTAATTTTTGTATTTTTTTTGTAGAGATGGGGTTTTCACCATGTTGGCCAGGCTGGTCTCGAACTCCTGACTTCAGGTGATCTGCCCGCCTTGGCCTCCCAAAGTGCTGGGATTACAGGCGTGAACCACCGCGCCTGCCCGAACCACTTTAATTTTTTTTTAAAAAATAAACATAATCATTTCGACTGTTAGGAAAATAATTTAAATGGAAATCAAAATTCCAGGTCAGGCTCGGCGTCCATCGTCCAGTGAAGAACCCTAGAGAAACCTCTGTGACCCTCTCGGATTTTAATTCCCTGTATCAAGTCTGTGACAAGAGCCGGCAAGGGCAGCGTTGGCGGGGCCACAGGCCGCCGCCTCCGGGACTCGGAAGCAGGTGGCACGGCCCACCCCACTGCGGGCGCGCAGGGCAGTCTCAAAGTCAACGTCCTGGCGGCTCCCCTCCCTGCGCTCCGCGGACCGGGCCGCGGCCCAGCAAGCTGAACCCCGGCCCCCCGACCTCCAGACACACGCAGTCCCCGCGCGGCACAGCCGAGCAACACAGGGAGTCCGCGCCCCCCCGCCCCGAAACACCCTCGCACCACTCACCACCCATCTGCGTTTGCAGGAGGCTGTTGGTAGAGGGGTGCCTGGGAGCGGGAGAGGGCTTCATCTTGCTGATCTCCCGTTCCGCTCGGTTTTCTACGTTGAAATTCCTGATCCCGCGAATCACCAAACCCCCCATTTCTTCATAACGTGATGCCCTCAGGCTCACGCCGCACGAGGGAACACCGGCGCAAAGGGGAAAAAAAAAACACACTTCCTGCGCTCCTGGAGCATGCGCACAGGTGCCAGGTCGAGAGAGCGTAAATGCGTGTCCTTCGCCCCCTAGCGGGCGGGAGGCCACGCACCGCTTCTCCGCCAAGGGTATTTGAAAGGGCGCCCCTCCCTTCGGGGCGGGTGGCGGCGCCCACCTGGGCCGCTTCCGGCGGGAGGGACGCTGCTCCAGTCCTCCGACCCACGGTTGCTCTCGGCCCTGGAACCCCGAGGGAGTCCCCCGGCAGGCTCTGAGAAGTTCCGTGCCGGGCGCTGCCCCAGACTTTCTGATTTAATTCTTGCGGAGTGAGGCCCACCGTGGGATGAGACTTCCCACGTGATTCCACAGTTACCGTGAAGAGTTGAAAATCACCGTCGTAAGGAAATTGACCTTCAAGTTGTTTCACGGGGCGATGGCCGATAAAAATGGAGCTTATTACACTGGGCTCTCGAGTTGCCCTTTCCCGCTTTTGTGAAAGGAAAATAAGGAAAGGAAGTTCATTGTCGGCGAATATTTGTTCTAGGCACTCTCATTTAAATGCCTATTATTCTCCCCCCGCCCCCCGCCTGATGCACTTTTCAAGCCACTGCATTCTCTTTTTCCATTATTTTTTACATCCCGTTCTCATTTGACCTCCTGGTATCGATTTTAGTTATGCTGTCCCTTCTCTTATTTTTGCTCCTAATTTATTTATCCGTACTACTAAATGCTGAGTCATTCCCTCTCCTATTTCTCTTGTGTCTTGCCTTCCTCATTCTTTTTTAAGCCTCTGTAATTTAATGAAAGGAACAGCCAATAAGACATCAGGAAAAAAAAAAAAAAACCCACCAAAAAAACGAGTGTTAAATTCACCTTTCTCTCTCTCTCTTCTTTTCCTGAATGGGTTACTGTACTGCTGCTTTTAAGACTCTTTAGGGAAATATTGCTATTAATGTACAGTAAAACCCACCAGGAAGGAAGTAGCGGGATTTCCGAAGTTACAATATTTCTCTCACTGTGGCTGCAAAATCTGTTTTTAGTGTTCCGAGTTCTGCTTAGCAGAACGAACTAGAGTGGTTGTTTTTAACCAGTTTAAAGTAAGAAAATATTGTTGTAAAGATAATCGAATAGAATAATAATAATAAAACAAGAATAAAAAACCAAAATGAAGAAAGGGACGGTTTTTTTTAAAAAAAGAAAACTAATGCTGTCATGAAATATAATGCTTAATCATAGCAAAAGTACTGCAAAAAAGACAACTTCAGCCACTCTCATTTAAATGCCCCTTATTTAATTATAACGAAACATTTTTACAGGGATTTATAAAAGCTGAACTCAGTGATCTCTGATAGCGTTAACTGGGAAGTTATCCTGAAGGTGGCAGGCTGCTCCAAGATTTCTGTCTTTGATACTTCTAAGCATGCTTGTGATTCAGGGCTTTTTAGCCAAGGTATTTCTATTTCTATGGGTGCTAAAATATTTTAATCTGCTTTATTATGTGCTTTAATCATGGTAGCAGTTCGACTCACTGCTAAAATATTTTAAAAGTGAAAATCTCATTTTCATAGAAATTCCACTGAACTTTGGGCAGCATGAAAAAGTAATGTTAAAAGTTACTGTAGGAGCAGTAGGGATTACAATATGAAATAATTGTTTGAATTCACATATTCAGATAGAGCTTGGATTCAACATTGAAAGAGCTTCCAGCATGTGTCATCTGCTTTGCCTGATCCTGGCCCAGTGCTGCTCAGGCCCTCAAATTGCAAAACAGAGGGTAGATGCTCTCCATCAGAAACTCACAATTGGCTGTCAGCCTTTGGGAATCATGGAAATAAAACCTGAACCATAAATGCATAATTCCAGCTCTTCTTGTCAAAACATAAATTAACAGGAACTCTGAACTTAAGAACTCCCATTGGGCTTATGTTGAGAATTGAAGTCAAATCCCCAAGGAAAGTATAACTAGGATGCTGCTTAGAATGAAGCTTCCATCTGAGTGGAGTATTATGATGTGTGTATATGGCTAAATGTCTTAAGATATTAATAAAATAAACTCAGGGTCTTGACAACACACTAGAATGTAAATTCTGAGGACAGAAATTTTGTCTGTTTTGTTCACTGCTGTATACAGCACATTGAACAGTTCTAGTACACAGTAGATACTAAACAAATATCAAATAAAGGTCAAATGAACTGAAAGACAAGTAGGATCCCTGAGCTGGAGTCCAGACCCTGGACAAGCTCTCTCTGCCTGAACACTATCCCAGCTTCCAGAAATGAGTCTTTATGCAAGTTACTTAATCTGGTTAAACACACTTTCCTCATCTTAAAGTTGGGATAATAGTAATCACCTAAGGTGTTTTACACAGATTAAAAATATGTGTCTAGTATAAGGCCCAGCTCTGAATATGATGTTCAATAGTTGCATTGTGCTTCATTTTTCAGAGGAGAAGGGAGCAGTTTGATAATGAACACATTCTGAAGTTCTCTGGTGAATAGGTGAATGAAAGTAATAAAAAATATACAGTAAGACTCATGTTCTTCAATCATTTAATTTTTTAAAAATAAGTCTCTAAATTTAATTTTTATTTGCTGATTAGCATGCTCAGCACACGTGGTAACATTGTTGGATTTACTAAGGTTGGAATATGGGTGGGAATCATTAGCTCTGGGGTATAAAATGCCGCCTGCCTCAGCCTGGCATTGGCCGCAGAGACAGTCCCCACTTTGTTTCCCTCTGCCCTCCTGTCTTTCTCTCTGCCCAGTCTCTGCCTAGACTTTTATCATGTGCACTCCTTCCTTTGAACATAATTCAACAGTATTCTGCATTCTCCAAAGAATTACGGTAACTAAACCCAGGTAGCAGTTGACTCAAGGGGCCCAGGATGGCCCTCAGAGGTTTCATCAGTCAAATCCCAGCCACTAGTGAGGAGCACAACAGATTTACGGAGGAATGACTTATTCTGGCAGAGGTTTTGGTGTTCAGACAGAGAGAACCTCTCCAGGGCCTGGATTCCAGTTTAGGAACCAGAATTTGTAGGAGTCTAACAAGTAATTTACAAGGTTCCCAAGCTTGGTCAATTTCATAGTGATGCAGTGTTGTGGGTCTGTAAAAACTAGAATACTGGGGGTAAGGGGTAGTACCCCAAACTCAAAACCAAAACAAACTAAGCTTTGTGCAGATCCAGTATTCATACTGAGGAACAATGGGTCTCAGATTAGAGATTAGAATTATCAACCCAGCAATTATGCCCAGATGCCTGCTTTGTGGTTACTGCATTCATGACTTTTGTCATTGTATTCATTTCCCATTGCTGCTAGCAAATTATCGCAAATGGTTTAAAACAAAACAATTTATTATCTTACAGTTGTGGAGGTCAGAAATCCAAAATGAGTTTTTTAAGGATAAAATTAAGATGTCTGCTGAGTTATATTCCTCCTGGATTCTCTGGGGGAGAATCTCTTTCCTTGCCCTTTTTTCTGGGGTGGCAGTCTTCTAGAGGCTTCCCTCATTTCTTGGCAGCCAGCAGTTGCATCACTTCACTGGCACATCTCCTTCTCTGTGACTTTCCTGCCTCCCTCTTTCCATTGTAACATCCTTACGATTACATTGGACCTATGCGGATATTCCAGGATAATCTCCCCATCTCAAGATCCTTGATGTAATCTCATTTGTAAAGTACCTTTTGCTATGTAAGGTAACATTCACAGGTTCAGGGATTAAGAGACAGACATTTTTGGAGGACTTATTGTTTTGTTCACTACAATCATCATTAGAATATCTCTCTCTACCAGTGTAGCCATGCCAACTTAGTAAAATACAAAGACAAAATAATGGAGAGAATGCCTAATATTTTTCATTCATCCCCATAGAATTTATATTCTAGTGAGACTACCTAATTATTGAAAGAGTAAAACCATCTTACTTGGGTAGCAGTATTTTTTTTTCTGAGAGGTTTCATAAAAGCCACAGCAGATCACTACTAAATTGGCCATCAGTTAGCCAGTTCTACATACTACACACAGACAGGCAATTCTTAGGCCCCCCACCTCTCATTTCCTCTGGAGCACCTGTATCTGAGAAGCTTCAATGAGCAAGAGTATGAATTGCCCTCACATACAAAGCGGAATGAGTTTTCCTAATCATGGCATCTTAGAGACACCAGAAGCCTATCATCTTCCTCTTCTTGCTCTTGCAACCCTCTCTGGCTTAGAAGTTCACAATTGTCCACTCATTCTTTCTTCTCTTTTTGTTAAGGTTATCTGTATCCACTTTTAGAAGGCAAGAAATCCTGGAGAAGGTAAGCCATTTGTGGGAGAGTTATCAGTTCTTTGGACTCTTGGATTAGAAAAAGACAGTTATCTGAAAATGGGAAGTTAGGGGAAAATAAAATTTTAAAAAAAGCCTACTGGTAAAAAATGGGAGATTAGAGAGAAGGAAAAAAGGGATAAAGGCATAGAGTCAGAGGCAGGAAGGAACATCCTCATCCCTTAACTTGACCAAGGAGACTCATTATCCAGCTCTTCTCTCTGCAGCTTCTCCTCTGCCATTCTATTTGTACAAACTATTTAGAAATTAACAACAGTAAAAGAAATACTTGTCAAAACCTGTGGAATGCAGCTAAAGCAGTACTGGAAGAAAATGTATGTGTTTGTATAAGTGTATTAAATATATTTGTCAGAACACTAGAAAGATGACAGGTAAATGAATTTGAACTAAGCATTCAGGTCAAAAACACAGAAAATGAATATCAAAATAAATCCAGTTTTTATTTCCAACTTTTATTTTAAATTCATGGATAATGTGCAGGATATGCAGGTTTGTTACTTAGGTAAACGTATGCCATGGTGGTTTGCTACATAGATCATCTCATCACTTAGGTATTAAGCTCAGCATCCACCAGCTGTTCTTCCTGATTCTTTCCCTCCTCCCTCCAACAGGCTCTACTGTGTGTTGTTCCCCCTCCATGTGAGTACGTGTTCTCATAATTAAGTTCCCACTTGTAAGTGAGAACATGCAGTATTTGGTTTTCTGTTCCTGTGTTAGTTTGC